TTACCATCGTGAAAAAAGTCCCAAAAATGCGTCCCAAAAGTTTATATAAGTTTTTTCTCAAAATTCTCTATTTTGATTAGGAATATGCATGAAAGATAATTTTTCAACTTCTTACTAAAAATGACATGAAAGACCATTGAGTGTTCTCAATGGTCTTATTTAATGAGAACATTAGAACATGCAGGCAAGATAAAATTGCGAACAAGTTTCATCATAATTTTTCACCATCTGTCCAATAACGACATGATAAATTAGGATTTTGCCAAAAAATATTTCTTACTAGAAAAATTCTGAAAAACCTAAAGATAATATAACGTTCAAAATGTTTTTTTAATTATCTGCTCAAATTGTATTTAAAACATGTAGAAAACTTCAAAAATTTTCATCATCATTTTTCTGTCCCAAAATATTTTGCTAAAATTGGATTTTTCTGATCTGAAAAATTAAAAATGTTTTTCTAAAAAGTGTTCAAAATTTATTTCATGCCCCCTCATGGAACAGAATTTTTTTCTTGCCCTCATTTGATTTGAAATACTATGTACAGTTAAAAAGACTCAAAACTGAAACTTTAAAACTTGAGACTTGACTTGAGACTTGTCGGTTTAACTTGGGACTTTACTTTGGAATTGAGGTTAAAGACTTGAGATTCACTTATGACTTGCAAAACAATGACTTGATCATTTGAAAAAAAACCCAATAGAATGTGTTTTTTTATTTCAGGTCTCTGACACCCTGGCAAGTCATAACTATTGGCATTGGGCTCTATACTTCATCGAGAAGGTAAAAATTGAGTTTTCTCAGTCAAGCAATAACTTGGCAATGGGAGTGTGTATGGAATTTGTATTTATAATGTCCTTTACCCTGAGTAATTTTGAAATGAGGGTTGATTATATCAGTGGATTATTTTGGGATTAATTTGTGTCAACACAATATATAACAAATTTGTCTCACTCACCTTCCTTCCCTTCTTCTCAGGGGGACTATGAAGCTGCTCTGCAGATATATGATTCTCAGGTTGGTTTGTGTTTAGATTTTGCATCAAAACGTTGGTGGCATGTTGGTCTGAGTTATTTGTATATACCAGAATGTTACCAATACACAAGGGATGAAGACTAAAAGCAATGCATTGTTCATTTCGTAAGTAAAGGAAGCTAGTGTGAGTGGATGGAAGTCAAGTCCCACCACCCATTTCAATGTCATCTGCCAAAGCTGATGATTTTTTAATTCCTTTTAAAACTACACAGGGTGGAAGTAAAGCTCGACTCAGCTATACAAGAAAATTGCATAATGTTACTTAGGATTGTCCCATGCCAGTATACAGCAGGCATGCTTAGATGAAGTCGGCTGATAGCCATGAATGTTTAACTACTGGTGTCGAAGGATTTCTACAAAATATGAACGACTTTCTTTCTCTGAAAAAATGTTTGATTGGTGGTCTGCCATTGTAGGTTAATTAATTTAATATTATGTTCACATTTTTTAAGGTGTTCAAACGTTGTAAAGCTTCAGGATCCATGTTGGACACTGTGGACTCCAGTTCAATGCTCTATAGACTGGAAATGGAAGGTAAGGTTCTTGTGTAAACACATCAAAACCATTTCAAAACCAAAACCAATTCTCCTTTTGATAAATTACACTAATAGAAATGAAATATGACCATGTAAAAAAACTATTATAAAAGTTTAACTGTGCCTGACATGGGTGATGAAGTAAAGAGAGGACATGGGTGATGAACTAAAGAGGGGGAATGGGTGTTGGGGGACAGAGAAGGTACACAGTCCGGTGACCTGTTAAAATGGAAACTGTACAGTCATAGCTCAACCTCTTGAGCAGAGCAGTAGTATCTGTGCCACTGTAGATTTACATGATTAATAATGAAGACAATATAATGACTGCAGTGTCTGTTAACATTTGGATCAGGTCCAGAGGAGGAGCACAAACTGACCCAGAGAAGATCCATTTATGGCATCATTTAATGTGTTAAATGTTTATTTTTGTAACCACGTTGGATACAGAGTTAAAGTAGTCACTGAACGGTGAGACAGTTACTATAGTAGTGTTAATGTGATTATGATGGAGAAGAAGGTGCCACTTCAAAGGTTTAAAGCTTGAAAACACAGTGTAATTAATCTCAAAAGCAGTTTTAAAGTAGGCAACTGGACTCACCTCAAGTAAGTTGAAGATGTTCGTCCTCACATCCAAGGGGCTTCATCTGTAGAACTGATTTTGAGATTATCATGTTGAGCTGGATTACTTAGAATATCCAGAAATAGGTGTAATTAATCCTAACTTTATATTATAAAGTCTGACGTCATGGTATTTATAAATGTCGTTGTAAGTAATGAAAATTTCAGATAACAATGACACCATTTACTCCATAGTGTTGCTTATAATTTGAATGTGTTCACAGTCTTCAGATGTTAACGTCGTATGAGTCAGAGTTGTTTCTGTTTATTTCTTAGTTCAATGAATCGTTAGGATTCAATGAATCCTAACGATTTTTCTGTTTGTCAATGCAAACCTAATAAATAAGATGTATATTTGTCATATACACATCATTTCTTGTACCTGACTAAGTCAACCTAATGGTGAAGTAAAGACTTTGCTACATTTAATAAGTTAATGATGTGAAACCCAAATGTAATTTTCTGTTTAAGAAAACACTTGTTGTTTTGGTTTTTTTTTATGCAAGAAATATTTAAACAAACTTGTTTTTTTATGGTCTATGTTTTAGGTGTGTGCACAAAGGATCGTTGGCAAGAGTTGTTTCAGGTAACACAGCCTCACAACGATGACCATGTGACCTTGTTCAATGACCTCCATTTCCTCATGGTGTCGCTTGGAGCCAAAGAAAGTGGGACTTCTCACCGTCTGCTGGAGGGCCTCCAGGAGTTGGCTAAGTAGGTCCTCTGTTCTGCACCATTTCTTCTCTAGGCTGCACACCTTAATGCTCCTTACATAAGAGCCACCCAGGACTTGTTTAAATCAGAGACAAATACAAGGCTGAGCTTAGAACAGAGTGAGTGCATGCAGTGAGGGAGAAAAAGAAAAAAAAACCCACAGAGCTGCTCACTATCTCAGAGACCAGGGCCCTTCCCTCTGAAGCAGATGCTACAGCAGCAGTTGCTGCCACTGGAGGTTTGTGGTCATAATGTGTTCTGGCATCCTGACCACTGACAGCTTGTGATGTCAATTTAAAAACCAGTGCATCACATTCTTATGTCCTTTCACCAAGACATCGATTCACAAGAGTTCAAGATTGAGTTTGAACAGACAGAAAGAATCAAGGACAACTCTATTCTACAGTACCTGGGAAGCTGCAGGCGAGATTAGCGTTTATTTAATTCCAGCACTCTAATATACTGTACTCCAACACTTTACTAATCCAGGAAAGCCTGAAAAGAGCATAGGGTTTTTTGGAATTGCACAACAAGGAAATCTTCCCTGATAAAAAAATAGCTAGTACAGCAACATGAAGGTTTTATGTATATGGTAGTGGTTTTATATTAGAGAACTATATACGTTCTAAAGTAATGTAAATCATTACATTAGATGGGAAATGGAACCACTATTTTGTGGTTTCATGGTGTAGCGGTTAGCACGCCTGCCTCACAAGCAGAGATTTGATTCCCAGAGGAGCCACATACGTGGTGCAGATCTGATCTGTTGTTTACACAAGATTTTCCCATGTGGATCAATAAAGTTCAATTTATTATTATTATTATTTAAGTTGAAACCAAGAAAGTACAACTACGAGAGAAAACTATAGTTCAAAACTGTTATCATTTAAATTTTTCTTAATAGCTTAAACATTTTCAGATATGTATTGACACAGTTCTAACTTGTCATGTCCATTTCCAGGGCTACTAGGTTATACTGTAGCTTGCTGTTTATTCCTGGATTGCATAATGCAGTTCATGAATGAAACATGAGTGTAAAACCTTTCAACTCTGTCTTCAAACTGACCTTCTCAAGGAAAAATTCTTATTAGAGCTAGACTCTGCTGTGGAAATCAAGAGCTGGACATTTTTTGTTGCCCCTCTATCTACTGGCCAGGTGTTGTGGACAGTTTTGTTGAAGTCAATTTAAAATGCAGGTTTTTGTTTGGACTTGGACCTTCACTGTTCCTGGGTGTCTGTCCAAACAGTCATAGGCTTCACATTTTCCTCTTCTGGATGGTAAATGTCAAATACAGTCTCCTGGGCCAGAGTGGTCAGTCAGCACTGATAAATGAACTACACCATGTTAATTTTTAAAGCCAGGAGCAATTTGGCCCATCAGCGTCCATGAAAGAATGCCAGTTGACATTCACTTTATGTTCTGGCGGCATTGTGGTGAAATGTAGCGCATGAATGTGAAAATATGTTTTATTCAACAGTTAAAAATACGGCTGCCCATTGACAATCGATTGTGATCTACCTGTAGTTTGCTGGTTGATCACTAGAAATTAAAAAAAATGTAACTCACTAATTCCCGACCACTGTACCACGACAGCTGTACTAGGAGAGATAATCAAGTGTATTATGCTGTATCCAATATCACTTAGTTGGTCTTTAAACTAAATGTATTTACTACAAATATTTTGGTACTGTTCATCTGTGCTACAGGGTATTTAAATACTTTCCATTAGTTGGCAGTAGATGATTTGAAAACCATCGACTTTTAAAAGAAAAAAAACAACAAAGTACTTTTGTGACACTTGGTTTTCATCCTATTTACAGGGAACCAGGGGAAAATGAGCAGCATCAGCGAGCGGGACCAATAGGAATCCCCATGTGTAAGGCTTTTATTGAATATGACCAAGGAAACTACAGCAATGCAGTGGAGCTCCTGTACCCTTTACGCTACAAAATTGTAGACATCGGCGGCAGCGATGCTCAGGTAAGATTTACAGCCGGGTGTTAAAAGCCACATACAAGAGAAAAGTCAACTTTCTGTTATAAAGTGTTTAGCCTTTTTTTGCTATTGTTGATCATCCTGCACTGTGCTTTTGTGAGAAAAACGAAATCCCTGTTGGTGTAAAAGTGGAGCAGAGGTGACGAACACTTGACATAAGAGCTTGAGCCGTTCAATCTAAGAACATGCCTCATAGTGAGAGGATGTGGAGTGCAGCAGTGTATGAATAATGAATCTCTGTGATAGGTGCTGTTGGATTTCATGTCCTTTGTGCTCGTAAACAGTTTCCAATGGCCCAGAAGCTTACAAAAAACTCTACAGAGCAGGGATACGGGGACAGAGGGTGTGGACTTGTGCTTAGACGCAGAGTGTTTTTCACTGGGTCAAAGGTCCAGTAAAGGAAACCACAAGCCATAATAATTTCATATTAATATCAAATTGCCCTTTTATTTTAAACAAAATGACAGACTAATTTTTTTAAATGACATTTTCATTCATTTATTTTCAAACATGGTGACATTTACATTTAATTGAACCTCCTGCTGGTGGCAAAATTAATAGACTTCCAGTTTTTCACTTTTTAGCCCAAACTGTATTGATCAGTAATAATTCTGTTCTTGCTAACAGCCTATTAATGCCTATTGACAGATCCATGTGCTAATGAAAGCAAATTAAAGCAAAGGAAAGAAAACCTTATATATTTTACAGTTTACACTCAGCAAATAGGATCCTAGTGGGTCAGATGTGGCTTGTGGTGCTCCCCTTTAGGGCCTCTCATATGGAGCGTCACAAAAAAAAGAATATAAAGTAATTATTTGTTAAAAAAATATAGACTTACCAATAGGTTTGTTCATTATTTGTCTACTGTTGTTTTGCAGAGAGATGTCTTTAATCAGCTACTTATTCAGGCGGCAATGAAGTCGGACAACAAGCATCACCAGAAACTGGGGAGGTAATGCACAAATCCTGCTCAGTGAATGAAAGAGAGTCCAAACATGAATCCATTGTAATGCAGTATGTGTGTGTAGGTTCTCAGTCATCCAGGTCAACTGGACAGAGTAGATTTTTTTAAGACATTTCACCTCTCATCCAAGAGGCTTCTTCAGTTCTGACTGATTCTGCGAAATTCTGGTATTTATCCTCAAGAAGGCTGCAAACACGTAACAAGTAGGTACGAGCAGGTATTGCAGAAAGGGGTGGGGGTGGGTGGTGGAGGTGTTGTGAAACCCACCCTATTCTATGGAGGGCGGGAGTCACAAGGTTAGGAGTGTGAATGGGGAGTAATACCATAGCTATGGACTAATAGTTTCACCTGAGCGACACTTTTGGCTGGGTGTCCTCTGAAATGAAACTGTGCTCTTGTTTTCAGGGAGGGGGTTGAATTTTTGGGGGGGAGAAACTATTTGTCCATAGCTATGGTAGCACTCCCCACTCACGCCTCTAACCTTCTGACATCCGGCCCTCCTTAGAATAGGATGTGGTCCACCACACCTCCATCACCTTTTCTGCAATGACTCTCGTCATGGGTTTGCAGCCTTTTTGAGGATAAATACCAGAACTTCCCAGTCGTCAGTCAAAACTGAAAAAGCCTCTTGGATGAGAGGTGTCTTCAAAATACCTACTCTGTCCAATTGCCCTCGATGTAACTATTTTTGGATTTTAATGCAGTACAGTTAGGCTACACCTGTCTTCCCATCCATGTACAAAAGCAGTTATACATTTCAATTATGTAATCTGTATCCCCTGTCTGTAGCACATGTTGGACTTTCATTATTGATCAGGGCAGCTCCTCATCTTGTACTTTGTCTGAATCAGTGTTCCCCTCCATGTACCATGTTGTGTTTTGCTGAATTTCCCCAGATGTCTTCTGGTCGAGCGTGATGCTGTGAGACCAAACTCCCCTCTGACTCATCGTCTGATGCAAAGTGCCCTCTCTCTCCATGCCTAAGACTGCTGGGCATCCGGAATCCCCTATGAAAAAAAAATAAAGTGAAAATTGACCAAAAATCTGTATTGCAAATTATTGTTGTCACCTACACTCTAATTGTAATTAAACAGCTGAATGAGCTGAAATCCAAAATCATTTTATACACACCTTTTAACTGATATTTTAGATTATAATATTAATTAAAGGCAATATTACCTTTAAATTAGCAGTAGCTGTGTTAAAGGTGCAGGGAGATTACATTTTAATTTAAACCTAGGTCTTTTATGTGGGCTTCATTTTCACTTTAATCACAAGGACATAGAAGTAGTCTCTGTGATCATCTCAATGTCAGTAACAAAAGGAAGTACCGTAATTTCGGGACTATAAGCCGCTACTATTTTTCCACACGCTTTAAACCCTGTGGCTTAAACAATGATGCAGCCAATTTATGGATTTTTAAAAGCTAACAAAGTTCATACCACTAGCGATCAATGACTTTTCTGGTAGGCTACCGTGTGTTATACTAGTAGCGTATGTCTGATAATAAAGACCCCAACTTCCCTGTTTCTGTTTACCTCTGCTGTGAAGTGAAGGGAGTTAGCCCTGGAGCAGATTACTAAGTCTCTCCTGTGCATTCCAACTACAGTTGGGGCGCCAAAGCAGAAAAGAGCTAACATGTAACCAGCCGTGTTACACGCACTGCTCAGAAAAAAGCATTTATTTAATTAAAAGTAAAATAAAATCTTTCTGTGTAAATATCCCATGTTACAACGTCGACACCTACGGCTTATAGAGAAGCCAGCCTATATAATTACAATTATTTTTTTCTTCTTAAATTTAATGTGTGCTTCTTAATTTCAGATGAGCTCCATAGTCCAGAAATTACGGTACAAAAAACAATAAATATTAATTTTAGATATTTTGTGAAAGAGTATTAACAAACAACTCTAGTGCATCAAATGCACAAAGAACAAGAATTATCCACAATCATTGCGAATGCATACACAGAAGAAGAAGAAGAAAAAATGTCCTTGCCTGTCCCTGAAGTGCTGAGTGAGGTACTGCTGAGTTTCTCCTGACTCTCCTCCCCTGTGTCGATGTGCTCTCACAGCATAGAGGTAATCTCATCTTGGATCTGAGAGATCAGGATCTGGGACAGCACGATCCCTGCAACCTAGAGGATAGCAGCTGTCAATGTAAATTACTGTCCGTCTCTTGGTAACTATACACCCTGTACTGAGCCTTTCACACTTACTCTGATGTTCAAAGCAGTTCAGATATGAGAATATGACACTGGAAAATACCTTTGGAATAAGTCAGTAAAATGTATCATAATATAGGGAATCATTAGGGGTGATGTTTATCTTTCTCCCCTGAGCCAATACTAGAGTGTTTCCTAACAGAATTTAACCACAGTAATCATGATGAATTACTATAATATTTATTCAAAATGTATCGTTACTTAGATTGTTAATTTCATTTTAAATGCAAAAAGAAAAAATAAATTTTAAAATCCTTTTCCTCTAGTTTGATATGAAACACTTATATTTATAGCCCAAGTCCTATCTCCCCTCCCCCTCAGCTTAGGAGTACTTGGAGGGGGGCCTGAGAAATTATGAACGCTGCTCTTCAACGTGGACATTATGTAAATAAATCTAGTTCTATTACTAATGCAAATTCAGTATTAGATTTACTGCATATCTGAACAATATGAATGCTAACGCAATTGTTTTGACATCATGTGTAATTCACTAGCCTCCCCCTCAGCAGAATCACCAGAGACCCCATCAGGCTGACAGGTTAGCGAGACCTTCTGTCAAAGCCACTGTCTACTGTGTGAGAATTCTTTCTGACGGTACCTGAATCATTTTAATAAATGAGTAGACTAATTATTTACAGGCAGCTGTGATGGTTGTTAATGCGATTTCATGGCCAATGTAACGTGTTGACCTGAGTTATTAGCACTGTCTCGCTTTGGGATTTGGGACACTTTCTGCGGCAATGCCTCAGGAAATGGTTTACAAAATGTCAGTGTACTCTTTTCATTCACACGTAATCCCACCATACAGCACACAGGCTCCTTCCACCTCTCTGCATTAACAAGTGATTTCATTGGAGGTGAGCAATAAATGAATAATGGGAAGTTAAAATACCAGGAGTCCACAGTGCCAAGTTATTGATCTCTTTAAAAAAACAATTTTTTTCTTAAATTGGTTACATTTGTGGAGTTTATAGTATATATTATATATTAGAGTCCAAAAACCCCTCCCTCAGGGGGACTGACTTATTTTTTTAATTAAATGACACAGGATGCTTCAAATCAATTGCTGTTCTTGTCATGTTTTTGTTTAATTCCTGCTTTCAGCTGTGCTGATTGAACACAAAGACGGCTCATTTTTCTCTAATGTGTCATTAAATTGTCAAGTCCACACTCTTTTTTTTTATATTAAATTTAGTATAAGTGTGCTGAAAGGTTGTCAATGTTAGTTAATTCATTTAATAGTACGCTATTTGGATAAATTACTGTATGTGGTAACTTCCCTTTGGGATCAATGAAGTATCTATTTATCTAAATTGGGTTGTTCTGAGGCATAATGTATATTTAAATAACTGGACGTAAAGTAGAGCTCTGCTGCAATACAGACCAGTAACTACTGATTTTCAAACAGAAAAACACTTATGTTTGCACTTTGTTTTTTGTCTCTATCATGATAGCTTAGCTCTAGCTGTTTGAGCCATCATGATGCAGGGTATAACTCACTCTATAAATTATATTGCTCACAGCCAATGAAAACCATTGCTTTGCTTCCAAGGCAGGACACATGAGATTAATTTTTGGACCCCATATGGTCTGTGACTCACTTCTTTTAGACTGCTATTAAGTCTGTGTGTACCACATGTATATACCACTAGGTCTATCTTTTCCAGTTGGTAAAGAAAAGCTGAAAGTTACTGAAAGTTAGGTGTAGCAATTCTGAGTTAGGTACCTGAGGTAAAGCAAGCCCCAAGGCGAGAGCCCCCACCAGCAACAAATGGGACTCAATCCACAGCACTGCCCTGTCTGCACAGCCGACTGGGTAGATGGATTTGTTTGCCTCCATGTAGTTCTGGGTTTGAACTCCAAATCCACACATGGTGTTAATCACTGCCTGTGAGACATATTGACAGAGACAAACAGGGAGAGCGAGGGGTGTGAGGGTTGTAAAGATTACCTTGATTACCACACAAACCTCACACTTTAATGGGATGCTGCCACAGGCTGCTGTTCCACATCTCGTGTTATTTTCTATTGACTAAGACATTAACTATGGTGACAGCAGAGGGGCAGCTTTGTGCAACTCTGCTGATCACAGAGATTTGGAATTAAAGTAAGAAAATGACAAAATGTTGATTAAACCACATCCATGTGGTTTGACAAGCACTGGCTCCCTGAGGTAACTCTGCAGTAGCAGACTGTGGACAGTAGGTTGCAGCACTGTTTAGGCTCTAATAAGGGTTGATTTCCATTTTTAACTTAACTGGTTGTCATGTGCTGTTTCGATAAAAATGATGTGTTATTAACAACAGTGTGGAGGATTTGCATTTACAATTTACATTGCTAGTGAACCCCAGTGTGTTCAAAAGCCATTGCAATAACATCCATAAAATAATATGGGACAACAATTATAGTATACATAGCACATCTGCAATTAAATACAGTGGCTATGACTTTTATATAGTTATACTGACTTTAGGCCAATGGCGACTCTGGTGTGTCACATCACTTCAGCATCAGGGCAAACAGCTATTACTGCTGCTGCCTGGCTGTGCTTAGGTCTATCAGAGAGGCAGCTTGTTAGTCATCTAAGCTTTAATCTGTATTTTTACTATTAGGGAGTCTTTGGGAAACCGCTAAAAAGGTAGAAAACCTTTTTGGTATTAAGTGTTTCTTCAAATGGCAATTTATATTTTCTTTCCTTACTGGAAATCACTGGTGATTTTGTCCTGGCTTAGCTCCAGTTATAACTGAGAGCAACTTGAACCGAAAACATTTAAAAAGTTGACACTTTATTAGGAACTTGTTTATTGATCTTTAGTCCAGTCCTATTTAGCCTTTTATCACTTTGGCTAACTTTCTTTGGCTGCAGCACTTCCTTTCAGAGTGTTCCTAATGAAGATTTGACAAACTGTTAAAAGATGAGTTTAAAGTCTGGGTGTATTTATTTGCCCCTGTGAGTGAGTCTTTGCTTCTATGTAACCCAAAGGAGTCACTTTATAATCATTGTCCATAGATGTGAACACATTTTTTTAAAGTATATTAATACATAAATATAAATACAGTCCTTTATTTAATAGTGACAGATGGTGACTTATTATTAAATGGCTTAGTTTCATTTTTTCCTCAAATGTCATCCTACAAATTATTTTGACTTAATCTTTGGGGGATAGAGAAGATGCAAAAGGAAGAAAGTAAAACCACAGTACTGTTTCACCTGCTAATATTTGTCAGCCAAAAACCCATCTGTCACTTTGTTTCTAGAACATTCGATCTTGGAATCCTTATTTGTTATGAATATAAGTATAAAAAGATTTAATGTCAGAGGTGTTAACTGAAGTTGGCTTAACTTTTAATTTTAAATGGAAAATGTAACAACTAGCTACAACAGTTTGTGCTGTACTTGGGGAGCAGTCGTCCAATACCCTCTTGTGTACACAGCTGTAGTCCATTTAGCCAAATTGTCCAAATTAATATAATTTTTCAAAAATCAAAAATTTGTTGTTATTTTAACTATTTTCACAATTGTTTGTTATGATAGATTTTTGAAAGTATTTTAATGGTATATTTGCATTACAATGACAATAATGTTTTTTTAAAAAGTTAATGTTACGTCACCTGTTATTTTACTTCTGGCAGATAGAACTTATTCTAATTCTGTAATTTGATTTGATTCCGTAATTTAATGAATATTTATTTTTTGGGGGAATACAGGATTTTTAAAGGTGTACCACTGCAGTAAAAAGGGGTTATGCATTTACATTTTTTTGTTGCAAGTTATTAATATTAAAGTCAAAGAAAAGGGAACAGCTCACCTCTCCTGGAACACGAGTGCAGCAGGAGTAAGGTACAGCACAGCGCTCAGTGCTTGGGTTAGAGAGAGTGCAATTAAAGTACAGGTTCCATGACCAGTCTGTGTAGTTGTTCCACCCACAACACTTGAACTGCAAGGAAGAGAAAAAAGCAACAACAACAAAGAAACAAGTTGTTTTTAGTGGACTGGGCTTCCTGCGCAACTGGGAAACCCCAGGCTGACAGGTGAACCAACACATGGACAGCTATGGTTGATATAGACATTCCCTACGTTTATAAGCATGTCACATAAATATGTTGAAAATAATGAATCTCAACAGCCTTTATCACCAGCTGAGAAGTCTTGATTTAGTGAGCAGATAAACAGCAGGCACTCAGGACATGTGATGTGGGCAGCTCCATATTAGAGCACATTCATTCTAGCATGAAATTGTTCAAAGCACCTCTTTCTGGATGTAATCCATCAGATTCTGCAGATCCAGGTCATCTCGATAGTGCACAATTGCTTTCTTTACAAACTTTCCCACAGCGCCACGAGCCTGGGAGAGAGAACACATAAAGAAGGTTAATCTCTTACATTTTCAACAGAGGTGGTGGTCACAGCTGTACGAGACTCTATAACCAGCGTAATAAGATGCCGAACAATGTGAAGATGGAACATTTAGACTTTGTGGCTTATTTATCCTGTGAAGATGTAATGATTCAGCAGAGGGACTCCTGCTGCAGGATGATGGTCACAGAATAACAATAAGTAAACAATTTAAACCTTGGAGACCAGTGCAGCACTTTTAGCAGCAGTTAGGGATGAACTGATCTGAACCTTGGTGTCTGTGTTGTTCCTACACTGGTTATGATTATTCTAGGAGACAGGGCTTCAATATTTGAAGAATTTATGTATTTTATGCATAAAGCAGTGCTTGAACAAAATATATTTTTCTTTGACACAACTGTTCAAAACAGCTGTAAATATTGGATTAGATGTTGTGTCACTAGGTGTGTAAAATTGCCCAGATACAGTATGTGCTAGATATTTTCCCCAGCTGTGATATTTACATAAAGTCAAATTGTTATAAGTAAAAAAAAAGAATACATGTTTAATGTTAAATAATTTACACATAAATCTATGTCTCTACTTTTTAATTCAATAGCCTTTATTGTTTATTAAAATCTATGTTATATGAGAAGAGTATTTAATATTCTTATGGTGTACTTTCACTCACTGCAAGAACTCTCAAAAGATTTAGAAAATTCTGAAAACAAGTAGGTGTGTGGTGGTGCAGGCTGAGCTCACATGTAATGTATGCTAATAGAAACACTCTATGCTAATAAGCTGCTCAACTTTAAAATTTCATTAAGCTTGAAATTAACTTCTGTTACTGCTTTGCTAAAGGCTCTAAGAATTGTTCGCGTTAAAGATTGTGTAAGGGTAATGTTGACAAATAACTGTTAGCTACATTAAAATAGCTCCCACATTTTTATCCAGGAGTCATTGTCCAGATTTTCCCCCCTCCCCTCCTTCTGTTAAACACATGCTCCTGGGCTTCTGTGCCCTTCGCCCCGCCTCCTAATGTCATTAGTGGAAAAGCCTCCTTTAAGGGATCTGTTGAAATAGAACATTTGGTTCCACTTTGAAGTGCCGAAGCATTTGAATCATTTAGCAAGGAAGGATGCTGGGGGGCCTGTTAAACTGCTGGGTTTAGCAGCAGGCAGTCCACGCACTGACAGAACACATGGGAGAGGAGAGTGGAGGTACTATCAGGCACCAGACAGTTCACCTCTGCACAACACCACCATCAGGGACCGCCACTGACACCGCTGCCACCACTGCCTCTTGTATTTTATTCTCCCTGGATTCCTGTTGCTATGAGATAATTAGGCAGTGGAATCTGTTTCCTAATATCACTGCCTGACACTGGGGTCATAAATGGAGCTCAAGTGGATATGGAGGTCACCCTGGGTCACAGATGTTACCCTGTCTAATTCAGACTGTGCCATTTTAAGAAGCAATAAAATGGATAAAGCTGCGAGGCATAACATTTAAATATAAATTAATGTCTCTCCCATTCAAGACATGTACACAATCACCTCAGCACTTCTCTCTGTCTCACAACACAGCCATATTTTGAATCTCAAGTCTCCTGCCTGTGTCAGGCTAAAGTACACATGTAGTGCTTTGTTTTACAGGCAGAGCAACAGTGTTCACAACAATCCAAACAGCTGCAACACAACTGACAACAACTGGGAATGAGAAAAATAATTCAATATTATTTCATTGACACGATTTAAAATCAATAATGTTTGCAGTCAAACTATGATCTACTATGAACTATGAGTAGACAACAATTCATCATTAATTATGTTGTATAAAAGGACACATTTCTGAAGATGTTGCCACTAATAAACTTTAACAGCACCCAATCATATTTCCTCATATTTTTAAAGATGTTTCATTAATTCTGATGCATATTTTAAAATGTGTCTCTTTTATCAGAATATGAATACCTTTATAGAAATATAAATATAAAACATTTATATCACTTTGCATTGTTGCATACACAATAACATGTAAAAACATTAACCTTTAAATTTAGACTACACTGTGATGAATCCAGATAATGAGCACCATGCAGCGGCAACAGTTTGAAAACATGCAGTGACTTTTCAACAACGAAACTATGGTCCATCCTGAAGCTGCATTTGTGTTTCCGCTTTAATCAAGTGGGAGTGGGACACGTTTTTATTGTATAACAACAGCTATTTTCTTATCTATTGTTTAACCATGCCAGTGCTTCCCACAGAGCACTATAATTGTCTCCTCTATTGCAGCCATCAAAACAAAGAAGACTTCACCTCAAGGTTTGGCTTACAGACTACAACAACAACACAAGGCAACAATCGCTGATGTATTCCTGGTCCTTAGTGGGGTAGTGTCTGTATTTTCCTTTTCAGGGTATGTAGGAATCCTGAAGTTAATTTCAATACTTTTGACCATTTTTAAGACCTCATTGCCACTGACTGCAAAGTTTTCACAGTTCTCCAGCACACATAACTGCTAATTGGCAGCCGCTGAGCGACACCTGTAACTTATATTGTTAGCAGTTATATGTGCTGGAGAACTGTGAAAAATGGTAGCAAAAGACCATCAGTGGGACACAGAGACGCTTCAGTTGAGTTCTCATAAGCATATCTATATGACAAAATGTATTAAAACATGTAGCCGTTAAACAACATCACACAGCAACACGATAGCCACCGACCCCATAGCTTTAGCTTTCGTATTAGCACCTCGGACCTCACTCCGTCACTTCATCATATTTTAAACATTTACTCACTGGTGTACGTATAGAGCTTACTTAAGCTTGTTTATCAATCATATCGTAATGATTAAACCAGGGTTTAAGGCCAGACTAACCTGAGAAAATGGTACCAAGCGACTATTAGTGGGACACGGAGCCAATTCGGTGAACTTCTCAAAAGCAAATGGAAGAAATACACGGAAATCGCTACCCTTACAACACCCCCTAGTGTACAAAATGGAGAAGTCCTCCAAACTAAGTTTCCCAGGTGACATTAGAACATTCCAAAATGTGGGCACACATCAGTGGCATTAACTTAGTCGACCAAATGTATCTCGCGATTATGAGTTTTTAATACTTTTTTGGGCCTTTAGTTTCATGATATGGATTGATCTATTTTTAATCCTTTTTATGATCCTATAGACACCCTGTATTTCTACTGTCTCTATCTGTGTGTTCAAATGACTCGACTCCACCAGCTCTACATGCTGTAGGTAATAAAGGTGCAATATTTTTAAAATATGTGAAAGAAAACACACAAACAAACAAAAAAAACAGATTGGGACATCTTGGCATATTTGTGGTCAATGTTGTTGTCGCTGGTGCTGCAGAATAGAAGTGGACACCAGATGTGACCTTGGAGTGCCTTTACATGATACCTGAGTCAGTGCACAGACCTGGTCAGAATATGAAAAGCCCATTATTGCTATGGCCAGCTGGATCAGAAAGACCAGTGTCAGGCTGAAGGAGAACTAAGGGACAAGAGAAACACATGAATAAATGGTAGGCAGACAGACAGAATCAACATGGACTGATTTGTTGATTTAGCCTTTGATTAAAAGTAATTTAATCTACCACATTGGAAGCAAACCACAGTCGCTGTATTAGTGAAAGTGTCTGTAAGATGTTTTACCGTCTTGAGAAGTTGAATGTTCTCTCGCAGGGCTCCAATGCAGCCGCAGAAAGTAATGAAGAACATGACCACCCCCACAGCAATTAGGATGACAGCTGGGTCGATCAGGAACGTGTCCCGCACTGTGTCTGGCAGCGAGACAGGAACATCACAGCCTCTGTTTACATGTCTGTCTGCTCTTGTCTTTTTTAGAGTCATTTTTTTTTCATTTGTTTACATTTCACCTCTCCCTTCATCACTTCTTATCCCTGTTCAGAAGAATCCACTGTTTATCTCTTTAACCTCCCTTGTCTACACAGGCTGCTGCTTTAATATTTAATGATTTGCCGTGGTTCTACATAGCAGGGAGACAAAATTGGTGCACTAAGCCAATCTTTTTTATTGTCTACACTTTTTAATTTGTGTTCTTCCAACTGATTGTAAACACAATGAAACAAGGTAGAATGTGACTAAAACATGATGACATTGATTAGTACGATAATACTTTTAGTGAGAATGGCTGGTTCAAGGTAAGGAATAGAGAAACAATGTAAAATATAAGTGACAAACATGCTGCTGACATCGTTTTAATAAGAAAAAAAGACCATACAACCCATAACAAGGGATATGTCATGTTTAACACCGGCACAATGAGATTAGAGCAGTCACCTGTGGCTTACCTGTGGCTTTCTGGAGTTTAGCATACACTCCAATTCCAACTATTACAAAAGAAAAAACCTGAGGAAAAGGACAGAATAAATACAAAAATAAATATAACAATATTCTCTTCATTATTCACAGTCAAAACATAATTATCAAGAAATAATAATAAAATAAATAAATAAATAAAGATGAAAGGCAGGTTCAATGTAGTAGCAGGAAACACGAGAGATATGTTGAAGTGATTCTTTAGTTTAGTAGTCAGGAAAAGTGTTTCCTATTTCTTCATATAAAGTTTACATTTTTTTCAGTAACTGGAATAAAACAATCTATTGTCACTGTACATATACAGAAAACACATTTGTCCTCTTCATTTGAGAAATCATCCATTCCATAAGGTTGTTAGCTCAACATATCACAGCCTTACCCACGCTGGTATTAGAACCTGCAACTTTCTAAAAGATCATCATGGGCTACAGGCTGATAAACTGCTAAAGTGTTATTACACTGGTAGTCTGGCAAAATGAAGCAACATTTCCTAATCTGCCTTGGGCACCGTGCAACCAAAGCAGGTGCAACACAATGATCCAAAAGTTCCAGCCAATCCTAAATTAGAAAAGCACCAGTTATTCATTTGTAATCATTAACTTTACTGTGGTAAACCTGCTGTGTAGAACTGACACTGCTTCCAGTTGACTGGTTTTGAATTCTGAACATTTTGTTTTTCCATTGTCAACAGGAGAACAGGTGTGTTTGTATGATGAGCTGAGATTTTAATATGAAAAATCACATTAGTGAGGAAGGAATAGCACGGCATATGTGTCTCAGCCTTCATCTGAATTTGTATCAAGTAAAACTTATTTGTTAGAAAAAAAGTTTGGTTTTTAGAATTGTCATCATTATACAACTCAGCAGTGCTTTGTGTTTCATTGGTTTTACTCTCAAATGCAGAGGTAATGTTGTCAGTGTGTAACAGAGGGACATTGAAGGGATTAAGGCTGACGGGCAGAGGTGTTTGTGTTTTTGTCTCTAATGTATGTGTGTTAGACCTGTTCAGTTTCTTTTCTAACATGAAGAGAAATAAAATGTTGAAAACATTTCTATTGAACAAACTTCAAGACACTCACACCATGAAGAGCAGTGGTGGTGAGAACACCTCCTTCAACAAGGTCTCAAGACAGTGACAAAAGATGGCTGAGTTGTGAAATTGCCTCAGAGTGTGTCATAAAGTTTGAAACTTCACTAGGACACATGACAACACAGTGAGCAGTGATGGTAAAATTACAACTTCCTGTTCAACACTAACTTTCTCTTTCTCACTAACATTACAACTTCCTGTTCAACACTAACTTCTCTTTGGTTTCCCCTGATTGTTTTTTTTATTTGCAGCTCTGCAATTCACACACACAAACACACCTGATTGGTAACCGCGTGTCTGTCTGGACACAGTGGCTTTGGTTGAGCCTGTGTAAACACACATCTCTCATGTTCGGGTGTTTGCAGCAGATCTCACGGGGTTAAGACAATTCATGGCACGCAATTTGCTATGATCGAGGTGTAATTTTCTTTGACAGCCAGACCTTTATGTCTAACACAATAATTCTGTGTGTTCTGTAACAGTGATTTATTACTGTGAAATGTTTGGTTTTACCGCTCCAATGAGTTGACACACACGCAGAATACATCCCTGGGGCAGATTTAGACTTTAGACTTTTTAGACTTTGAGGTTGTTTTTTCTTAATACAGTCAGGTCTCTGTGTGGGAGTGGGCACCTGCTGCTGCATTTGCGAGTTTTAAGAACGATTGACAGTGAGCATTTCAAACAGGACGCACACGAGCCGCAGCCTGCGAATATATTCTGACTCCATTTTTAAAGGGATGAATCAGGCTTCTCCTGGCAGATTGCGAGCGGAGGTGAGCACCAGCCGAACTGAGCCGTGGGGACAAAGGCCTGACGGATTAGGTCCGCAGTTTTCACATCTGAGCCCGTGTGAAGGGAAAACAAAGGAGACACAAGCTGAGCTGGGGTTAAATTCTGATTGGCTCTAACCACAGTCTGTGTTTGCCACCTCACTGTGTCGGTGTAACAGGGAAATCACATAACTCACATCAATTTTCTCATATTAGGCGTGCTTTGTATGTAAAACTATTAGTGTAGCTACACTGATGTTTTACACTGTCTCTGAAAGACAATATTACTGCAATTATTACTTCAATAGGTTGTTAAAAAGTTTTCTGGTTTATCACAGTGCAAATAATAGCTAGAAATACATATACATACATATACATATATACACACAGACACACACACACACACACATATATATATATATATATATATATAGTTAGATTAATCTCGACAGGAAGGAGAAAGTAGGTGACAGGAAGCCACAAAAATAGCTTCTTGAAGTTATTGTAGTTGTATTTTTCTTTGTCTGAATCGCTTGCCTACTGTACCTTCAACAGATGCTGCTCTTGGCAGTAAAAACACCAACTAAGCAGAGAGTGTTTTGCTCCAACAACACCAGCACAAACTGTTCTATCCAGGCCTCAACCCTCACTTTTTCATCAGGTCGTTCCGTTTAACGGACAGTTCTTTAGGTGATGGTTTTTTTATTTACCAATTTACCAAAAAGTTTTTACAAATTGGCCCAAAAGCACTCTCCAATCTTCCATTTTGACAGCTCTAGTTCTCCCCCATATAATAGTCCCCCTGGTTGGCAATCAGTGCTCTGACTGTTATGGAGTCTATATTTTGTTGTTGTGTTGTAAAACGATGCAGGCAACAAATGCCTCTCTAATAACAGCTGCTGACAGCAAACATAGAAAAACCTTCAGATAGCAGCAGGCCCGCAGAGTCACAAGGTGTTTGACCGTTCAGTCTGAGTCTGGACTGAGCCGTTTGTTGCCGGGCATTTAGTGTCCAACATAACTGCAGTAAATTTAAAATGTGTATTAACAGGGAGGCTTGTTGGCCCCACTGCACGCAGCTTCCCATAATATCTACATTGAATTGCCTCTTTTATTATTCATGGACTTTGTTTCCCGCTTTTTGTCTTTTTTGTTTTGCTATTCTTCATAAAACAATTTACATTTACATTACATTTCGGGTTACCTAATTCGCCGATGGAAGCTGGTGGTTGAAAAGCACTGAATTATTAAGGATATTCAATATGGCTGCTTAGAAGCAGCTGTGTTTTTGTGGGTATGGGCCTGTGCCACTGACGGATAAACATTGACCACCACAGGTCTCTACTCACCCAAAATAAGAAGCTGAAGAAGAAGAGAAAATATCTGATCCAGGGATTGACGTAAGAGAAGGTCTCTGCCCTCTTTAGACTCTGGTCGCTGTCCATGGTTTTTAATGGTCTCTACGAGCCGACCTGTGAACAGTTAAAGTTTCAGTCAGTCTGCAGACCAGTCCCACTCTAACATTATGATTGTGACAACCTGAATCGGTGAGAGTGCTGACAGGAGTGTGGGCCTGGCTAAAAATGGGGCATGGGGACCTGACGCTGAGCTGCAACGCTGGTAGAATCCAGAACTGTCCATGTAGGATGGTGGGTCCGATTACAGTCAGATGACCAAGTGCAGCTGAATGGACAAAGATAATTGGACCATTGTCAAAGTTCTTAATGCTGAGATTTTGCTAATATGCAAAAACCTACACAAAACACCCCGCCCACTATTGTAAGCCACCTTAAATCCTAAATAATACATGGAAAAACTTGTTTTACAACTATAATATTTCATATTTTATAATATACTCCATCATATTTATATTATTTATGTAATAAAAAAATCATATTGACAATTCGAATATAGGTCGACATGTGGCCTTGTGACTGACCCTGTAAACTGCCCAGGCTCTTGACAAGTAGTGGGACCAGGTCCAGCTCCATCCTGCAGTAATGAAAAAGATCAAGCAGTAAGAGACTGACTGAATACATATACTGAATAAATATACTCACAGACAGAGATACTCCATGGAACCTGTGTCCTTCTGTCACCACAGGGGGCGCTTGATGTCGTAACTAAAAAGGAAACCCTGTGATTTAGTATTCACATACAGCAGTGCCAAGGACACTTTGGATTTTTATAGGTTACTGTTTGAGATCAAATAGTATTTGAACAACATTTCTACAGTATCCTCATGTTTCTTGGGTTTTCGTGTAGACCAGTGGTTCCCAACCATTATTACAAATATGTTTTCATTAAGAAAATCCCACGGTGCACCATCATTCAAAAATATCACAAAAGTATATGTAATCTAATACAATGATCTTCTAGTTTCAATTTAGTCGCAATTTACTTTAAAACCTAGGCATGTTTAGTTGAACATGGCATGGATATACTTGGATGGACTATACTAGTAGAAGGGTATTTTTTTGTCTGTCACTGTTACATAGAAGAACAAAGACCAATAATTGCAGTAAATAAACAATACTTTTCAGACAATTAGGTGAAATGGGATAATTTTCAAAGGTTTGCCTGATGATCTGTCAATGTACACTACGTGCTGCGGTACACCTTTCCTCATTGTCTTTTCCTCCTGCAAAGAACCCACAGAAATAAGAATGGATTATTTTAATTGCACTTGAAGAAACATGTAAAATTAACAAGTACCACCTCTACAGCTGTGATGTTGTGGCTCATTCAGGTAAAATTCAAAAGACCTTCTGTGTAGAGAAAACACAACTGTCCATGGATAACATGACCACGGTAATCATAACCAGTAAATAACCCTCACACTTGTTTCTCTGCAATTTATTTGAATACATGTTACTTATACAAAATAATCTGTACAAAGGCTAAAATATGTCATAGATTTGCATAGGAGAAACAGAGTGACACAGAACAGAAGCTCGGATGGAATGGCACAATACACACATTTTCACAGTTGGGTAAAAAGAAACACTCAAATAGTCAATTTGCACAAAGCCGTTCTGTCAATGTTGTATAAACATGAGACAAATTGTCGACAGCACCCACTTTCATCATTTCCCTTTTGTTCTTCCAAACACTCCTCTGACACTGGCGGCTACCATTAGCTCATCTCAGCATCTTCTGGACACGATTCCCGCAGGTTTTCAAAAGAGGCTATTTTAAGGCAGCGCTGCCACTCTCTTTTTCTGAAGACACCACGGGATTCGCTGCGACACAGATTCTCTTTGCAATTCATGCCAATTTCTGTCTCCTGACTGAAGAGGGAAAAAAACCCCCAACAACATCAGATGCTCTTTAAATGCTGCTGAGAAAAAAAATTCAAAGTGGCATAAAAAGAAACACATCAGAAAGAGAGAGTCGTTAAACATGAAGGCAATGAGTGCCGGTGTGGTGGGATCTTTGAGACACACTTTTGCTTTATTTAAAAAATAGTTGATTTAGAGAGGATAAAGAGATGGTACCAGAGAGGGTACCACCTGCTATAGATATTCAGAGTGCTTTCACATGTAGCAGAAGACTCCACAGGACAAAGTTGGCAAGTATTAGATAGCAGTAGCTGGCAAACACAACATCAAACACAACCATTTCTAGAGCATAAATTTCCACTGCTCACTTGTTCAGTTGCAACATGAGAAAGGATAATGTGATTACAGGAGAACATGTCAGAGATGGCAAGAAAACCACATGTCTGAAAATTCTTCATAGCAGAACAAAATCCCCATTACCACGTGTGCATTCCTTCCTTAACCTCCCTGTGAATTATTGGGCATGTTTCTAAGGATGGGAATCACCTTATACTCATTCCAGAAAACAATAAAAAGAAATTACACTACAAAATGCATGTAGTCAAAAGAAGAGAAAAAAAAACATTACAGAAATGTAATTTAACATCAGACACTGCTACCGTAGGTACAGGGAGGAGCACAGGGAGAAGAGCTATCAAAGATAATGAAGTACACAGAGTATAAAAAAAGCACGTCTGTAAATGAATATCAGTGGTAGACATGCTAAAAGAGAAAATAATAAAACAAATTGTTTCCTGTGTCATGGTGGTCACATGGAGCAGGGGTGAAGTGACTTATATCTGCTATAAAAAATGAGTGTATTTACATCTGGGGCTGACATACAGTTCTGAAATACTGCAGTAAAATTTGCTCACAGCTGTAGAGTCATCTAATAGTATTGTTGGGAGTAATACATCATGGGCCTTTACTGGCAGTTTTAAAAGACGTATTGAAAAAAAAAATAGCAGCCCTTGCTTCTTAATTAAAATACATCTTAATACAAAGTACATTGACAAGTACTGTCTGCAGTATGTGATTGGTACGTGTCCTCTGCGTATAAACAATATTTTATTTATGTCTATCAATTCTGTCTTCATTGGTTTGATGGTGTGTCTCAGTTGTAAGGACCATCAAACCAACATGTGACGTGGTCTTACTCCAACTTCCATGATTTATAATAACCATGACATTGGTGACAGGAGCAGTAGGATAAACATCTGTCAAAAAAGTCATACCTAACCTAGCATTCTCAAACATTTGCTTTGAGGTCTAAACAGAACTGTGAGAATGTTGGCACAGTCAGATCAGCCTGAGTCTGCTGGGTGGGTCAGTGAAGCTGGATGTCAGGTCAGCAGACAGACAAATTTCCTGCGGGATTTCTGTGAGGTGTGTTTTAAACATTTTCCAACCTGTTTTTTTTTGTTCTTTTTTTCCTTTTAAATAACAAGCCTCAACTAAATATCGTCTGCTGCTCATCTCGTCTGACTTCACCCAGCCCTCCATCTTATCTTATCCAGGACGGAAGATAACATCACAGTGACTTCAGCCGCTCTGGCGAACACAGCTGTATTTCTTCGGTGCCACTGCTGCTCAGCTACTGTACATATATATGCAGCCCATTCTGTCTGCAGATTTAGGCAGTAAATAAGAGATGTGTGGGGTGTTTGTGGAGGCAGCCAGGCAGCCCAGACGTGACCACTTGTGCCTGTGCTGTGCTGTACATCAGCAGCTGTCATGTTCCCCCTGTGGACGCCACGAGAGGAGCAGGATATATGTGGGCAGGCAGTGAATCAGAGGCAGCAGGCTTGCTGCATATTAGACCAAACATGACGCTTTGCAAATGGAGCCCCTGCACTGGGCTGCTTGCTCTTAAACAAGTGAGTAAACACCTAAGACCACCTTACATCCAACAGCCTTCTGGTCCAAACAATTTTTAAAAAATCCAAACAATTCCTATGATTTTTATCCTAATCATGTTGTTTCCGCTTTTGTCAAATTGATAAGATAAAGAAAGAAATACTACAGACTTTGGACATATTCTGTTTTGGCACCTACACAGAGATTTCCTCTCAATGTTATAAATCACCAATGCTGTCTTTTCCTATTACTGAGGAAAAACATTACATATTTCTATCATTTTAATGATTTTATGGGTTTATTAAAGCCAACAGACAGATGACGTTAAAGTAATGATGATTCAATAGATGTCGACATTTTCTGTACATTCAGCTGTTGTCAGTTACAGAGGTGTTAGTGAGTGAGAAAATAAGGAAGTGATTTGTCTAAATCTCTGTGTTCTACACCAGATTCTACTGCTGTCAGTTACCGAGGCCAACATGAGTGGGTGAACGAAGAGGACATTTTGACACAGTTGTCTCCACAGAAAAATGGCCCCCACATATGGCAGCGTGTGTGGGTGAGATTGATGCAGTGGCACAGGCATTTAGAAGTCGAGTAACACAAAAGCACCTTGAGTGTAAGGAACCATTGGCTTTAGGGTTCGTCCTGTTTAAACACTAAAAGTCTCTGAAGTAACCTTCAGATGAATTAAATGCAGATTCTCTCTCATTTGTATGAAACAAGAAATACTTTAACGCCATCTGACCCCCTTTCAGGGTCAGAAAGTTTGGAAACATTAGTAGACCAGAAACATTTCGTATAAAATTAAATATGTTAACTGCTCTCTAACCCCTGCCACTGCGACTGTGTGGGACTGAAACGACAGCCTGTTGTGACAAATAAGTTACAGCCCAGGGAACACAGAAATCGTAAAGAAAATGGCAACACAATGTCACACAGTGAAGCCTGAAGAATGAATGCAATGACGCAGCGTGCCTGTTTGTCTGGTATTATGTGTGGTCATATTTTAATAAAATATAATGATCTCCAGGTTCCAATTTACTAACAATTAACTGACTTACTACAAAACCTAGGGGCCTGTTAAGTTGAATACAGCGCTGATATATAGGCAGGAATTGAAGAAAGACATCCTATACAGGCTCTGAGTCTCTTGTTAGTTTTTTTCTTTGTTTTTTGTTTTTATCTTTTGCACCAGTATTTAATGGTTCCTCGGCTAACAGTTGCACAGACAAAGACACATTATTTGCAGTACATAAATAATGATTTTCTGAAGAAATTAATTAATTAATCTAATTTTGTAACATTGCACCTGATGATCTCTCACAGCACACTGCTTGGAAATCACTGCTCCGAGGCTAAGTTCTGTTCAGACAATCGCAACAATCATTGGCCTAGAGCGGAGTTCCCTCTTTTAAACAAATGTGTGAATCATTGGGCCACACAAACTATTCACTATTCACTCAAATTCACACCTATGGTCGATTTATAGTGAAGAACCTCAACCCTGTCCGTTGGCTCTTTCTTTAGGATATTTTGCAGGTAACAACTTCTACATCATCATTTTTCCAATGAATGACTGTCTATTAGTGCGGGGCCAGAAGGACAGACTATGGTTTTGTTGCATATTCTAGAAAGTCTTCTGTGCTCATACTTTGTAAAGTATTCCATCATGACAAATGGTAATCCTTTAACAATGACACCTCTGCACCTCCTCTCTCCTCAGACACAATGAAGGACATTTTCTCCTCGCGAGTCGGCACAGCATTTTCAATTTCATGGGGAACGGATGTGTGGACCTCCTGCGGTGACTTTGCAGTAAACAGACTTCTTCTGCGGTGCTTGTTACCATACCTATCTGTTTCAGCTTTGATCGGCCCACACAGTGGCCTCCCCCTACACTCCGTTGATAGCAGGAACACAGGGAGCTCACAAAAGAAAAAT